TGAGAGATCACATACCAGAAAAAAGCGGGCCAGCACTTAGCTGTGAGAGAGGGTGTGTATGGGGGGGGGGGGGGGGGAGCTGTAAATAAGCCGTCATTTTTCTTTGGAGAAAGGATAAAGGAAAAACAGAGGCCTTAAAGAATCATCAGAGGAGATTTAAACAGACCATCTATAATAACAAAAATGTAATATGCTAATTAGACCGGACAGCCGAACGACCTTACAGATGTCCTTCTGAATGACCTTCCAGACAAAGCAGCGAAGGCAAGCTGCTGCAGCTGGGAAGGCCGAGGCAAGCCACCATGGCTTTGAGGGCCAAGCCCCTTGCTCAAATTTCGTGCATCGGGCCTCTAGTCTCTAATAAGCAACCATAATGGAAATGACAGCAGTCACTGAGTGCTCTGCAAGTATGATCCCTAAAATGATTCTGTCTGAAAGATGAGGGATTTGATTCTGCCTCAAAACTTTTTGAAAAAGAGGGGGAGAGCCAAAACCGGTTTGGCTCAGTGGTGGAGCGTCAGTCTGCAGACTGAGGGGTCCCAGGTTCAATTCTGGTCAGGGGCATGTACATTGGTTACGGGCACATACCCAGTAGGGCATGTGCAAGAGGCAGCTGGTCGATGTTTCTCTCTCATCGACATTTCTAGCTCTCTATCCTTCTCCCTTACTCTCTATAAAAAAGCAATAAAAAAAATTAAAAAAATATATTTTAAAAAATTTTCTGAAAAAGAGGGGGAGAGAGATGTGCACACTATAATCCTATGAACACCGAAAACCAAAATGAAGAACTAACGTGATGAAAAAAATGGATGCCTGGAAGCATCTGTTGATATGGATCCTGAAGCAAGAATAGGAACCGTTTAAGTTCAAAGCAGATTCTCTGGTGTTTAATATCACAAGTCAGAGTCGCTTTAAATCCCAGGGCTGGGAAGGGACCGGTGCTGGAGACCTACCTCATTCACTCTGGAAAGAGGGTCCAACCCCGTGTGCCAAGCCTCCCAGGTCTGGCTCTCTCTGCTATGGGCCGGGGCAGCCCTCTCCTGCCTCAGGGTTGAAGACTGAACAGTCCCATGTTAATACAGACGCTAGAGTATAAGCTCCTTGAAGGCAGGGCCAGTCACAGTCAACCCTGTAGCAGGGCAGGAAAGGGGAGAGTTGGCCTGCACACAGACCCACCCCAAAGTACGTGTGGGTCCGCTTGTTTCGGCCTTTAATTAGCATGGCCTTTCCATTCCTTCAGCCAGATTTCTAGTATCTCCCGAGATCACAGTTCTCCTATAAGTGGGCCGTGCTGATTGACTTAACAAAAAGCCGCCATTGGAATAGTTCTCAGAATGTAGATGCAAAGGCCAGGAAAGCCCATTCTAGCTAAGAAATGACTCTTCCAGGCCCATCCCATGAGGTTCTGGTCTTGGTCAGAAAAAGAGCCGCCTCTCTTGTCCAGGCATCTATCCTGATGGGCCATGGAGATGTTATGCTGAATCTTTGGGGCCTCCCTCTGTGATGGGTGATGGAAATCATTTACATGTTTTCCAGGTCCTTTCTTACGACCTGATATGGGGCAGGCTGTCAATTAATAGAAACAATGGGGGAGATATTGTGGCAGGAACACCTAGCGTCCAAACCGGGCAGAACCGGCCAGGGCCTGGGGGTGGGCGGGAGTGTCTTTCCTGCCATGCGGTAATGAATTTCAATCACTGCTGGCTTGTGCCAGATTCAAATTGGCAACCCACAGAGATGAAACACTTTCTATCCCATTACTCATGCCTGGAGGGATCTGTTTCCTGGAAGACTGGCTTCCCAGGTGAAAGGGAGCGGATGAGAGGTCACTCGGAGGTGGTTTAAATCAGATAAAAAGTATGAACAATGAGTGCCCAGCGAGAGAAATATGCAGACGTGGAGGGGGAGCTAAGGGGCCATCTGAATCTCCATGCACTGGGAGAGGGGATACAAAACATAAAGGTCAAAAGCCCAGAATGCATCTACTAATGAAACTACTTAAGCTCTCTTAGTTCAAGGCTGCAATACTATTTGCTCTGCTAAAGAAAAAGAGAGAAAGAAAAAAAAAAAAGATCAGTGCACTCAGGACTGTATAGAAAGTCCTTCTAAAAATTTCCACTTGGCTCATTTCTTCTCCGATAATCAGCCTAAAACACCGGTCGGCAAACTCATTAGTCAACAGAGCCAAATAGCAACAGAACAACGATTGAAATTTCTTTTGAGAGCCAAATTTTTTAAACAACTTCTAATGCCACTTCTTCAAAAATAGATTCACCCAGGCCGTGGTAATTTTGTAGTAGTGCCACACTCAAGGGGCCAAAGAGCTGCATGTGGCTAGCGAGCTGCAGTTTGCCGACCACGGGCCTAAAACATTAAATCTACCTAAAATATTACAAAGAAAACTTTTAATTAATATAATGTAGTATTTTAACTTTTGAACATCTACGCCCTATCACATGTGGATTATGCTCTTGATGATCCTCTGATCAAGCTTTCAAGATTTCTGAAATTTTTACTAAATCTAAATTGTTACTAAGAACCTTCTGAAGAATGAATACAAGGAGCAGTAACAGTGCTTCTTAAAAAAGCCAGACTTCACCAATACAAATAACAACGCAATGCAACCTAATAGGTACCGAGCATCAGCTCGACCCATGGGTAAGTGGTGGACTTTCTGGACCGGGGATTCCAACAACCTGTCCTCTGCTCTGCCCTGAAATAAGCCGTGACTCTGGGGCGCGGGGGGGCACGAAACAGAACACTTACTTGACCACAGAAAAGGTTGTTAAACATGAGCAACGATTTCATTCATTCCACCGGGGAAGTAATGATAGGATTGTTTTGAATGAAACACAATGTGTTCTCTGGCCATCTCCCACCCGAAGCTCCAGCTCACCTCAACGTTGTCAGACTGTCAGGCTCTGGAGGTTGGGAGGTGGGGGGGAAGGGGGGGAAGGGGGGAAGAAGAAGCGCCTGGTGCTCAGAAGAACAGTGCTCTTGCTATCCAGGCAACAGCTCCGTACCCCGCCCTCCGGCCCAGCCCTGCCCCTCTTGTCATCAGCGGGCGGCTCTGGCCCAGTCACATGTTCTATCCATGCCTGAAGGTGTCTGTCTCAGCAGTGGCTGCAGAGGGCAGCTTCTCTCATCCTCACCTGATCTGACACAGCAGCCGCTTGCAGGTACTCTTACCTGCAGCCCCTTCGTGACTGATAGGCGCTCTGTTTCAGTGACAGGTACAGATGAAGCTATCCTCCCTTGACCCCAAAGCTCTGGGCACCGACTATGTGGTGTTAGCTCTCGTTCCAAAAGACTTGCTTCCCAGCACCTCCACACCCACACAGGCCACCCTAAGGTGCTCCCGAAGGTCCTCCGGGTGGGTGTGGCACCCTATCTCCAGCGAGGCCAGAGCGTGAGCTTCCAGGCCGTGGCCCTGCTACTTGGGACACGCTTTGCATCCTGGATGGAATGATGTGTCTGGGGATTGCGTCAAAATGATCAGGGGAGATGGGGAAGTGGGTGGGGGTGTAGAAGATCCCAAATCGTCCAAGAGTTGAACACTGTTAAGCGTGTTGCTGAGTACCTGGCAGTTTCAGTGCCATTCGACATGTGATCTGAGACAGGTGCCCATCGCCAGCTATCACTGGTCTGTGAAGATGTAAGTGCAGAGGCTGAGAAGCATCCAGGAGCTTTCATAGCAACTGGACAGAGCAATTCTATGCCTGTTAGATCTAGCAATAAAATAAGTAAGCTTGAATTTTTGTCTGTTTCTGAATCTCATTTTCCAAGGAACTCCCTTTTTACAAAGCTGTCAGTATATGGTGGGTTGTGCAGTAAAGACAACACCCCTTGGAGCAGACAGAAGTCCCCGCTCTATATGCAGCCCCTACTCCTGTGCACTTTACATTTCCTGCAGCACAGGGTTGGCGGGTGGGGGGGCGCGGAAAATTGCTATTTGTGTTTAGTCTCTACTCCAATATAAACTTAGAACTTGTCAGAAAATATACATACATTTACCTTTTACAAATGTACATCTAGATGTCGGACTGAAAGCAGCCTGGGTCCCAGCGGGCAGCTGCCCCTGGGATGGGTCCTGGTGGGGGACCCCGACAGGCATCCACAGTAAGTGGGGGCGGTGCGGGGGCGCGCTCCTGCAGGGCCGGGTGGTCTCCAGCTGTTTGTTTTAGCACACCCAGCCCGGATGAGCAACTTCCCGGCTTAACGTTTGGAGAGTTTAAACTCTCCACTTTCCTTCTCTCTCTCTCATGTGGACAACTGTCAGCCTACTGAGGGTGTTTTTTTTAAACTTAGTTAAGTGGAAGTGTATTTTTCAAACATTACAAACCTACATGTAAGTCAGCTTGACAACACCACGCGCATGGCCGAGTGTACATATACTGTACATACCCACTTCCGTTTAAAGCGAATTGGGTTTTATTTCTGTGCCTTTATTCCAAGGTCAAGCCTCAGAGCCACCCCAGAGCAGCTAATCCGTTCCCGTCAATCATCCTGGCTGCCAGCAGAGACGCTCACAGACCCAGTTTAGGACTCAGACCCAAGCATCTTCTAGTAGGTGCGCCCGCTCCGTTATCTCCGTGAGCCTTGTCCAATCTGCGAACGGCCACTTTGGCCTTGAAAGCAACACATGATGGAAAGGGGGACTCTGCTTTGGAGGAAAGGGGAAAGAAAGCAGACCTGAGCGGGGCGGGGGGGGGGGGGGGGGGGTGGCTACAGGCCACCTGTCCTGAGGCACAGCAGAGCATGTGAGGGACCTTGGGGTGAAGGGAGGGGCAGGCTCCTGCCTTAGGCTCACTGCAAAGTGACCAGCTGAGGGAAGGCCTGCAGGGGGGCCTCCGCAGGGCACCCCCGGGAGGGCACGCGCGCCAGGCTGCCTGTAATTAAGGAGCAGCCTGCTCCCGAGAAGACGGTGCTGCCACCCCATCTGCCACGCCCGCCCGAGCTGGCACGGCGCCTCCTGCCTGCTGCCGCCGCCGGCTACCCACCGGTTCCTTGGAGACCTCCTTTGATGGAGCGTTGATGCCCAGCTTTTCCAGAGGATAGACAATCTGTCGTCGTGGCCGCACGGGAACCAAGTAATGAAGGGCGGACGTCAGGGAGTGGGCGTAGGAGCTCTGGAACTGCAAGACAGCAATCTCCGCTTAGGGGGGGGGAGGAAATGTCAGGGCCTCGCAGCACAGATGCCCGCGCGCGGCTTCACAAACACAGGGCCCCGCGCGCGGCCAAACCGGAGGGGGGAACGCCCGGCAGATAAACAAACACGCGCTCCTCCGCGCGGAGGAATGAATTGCGGGTAATGCCTGACGCTAATGAAGATAATTACGGGAGTAATTACATTACTCTCTCTGTGGGAATGACAGATAAACAAGTGGTTTGGTTTATGGGATTTTCAGTACAAGTATTTTCCCCAGGAGGATATGCTTCTGCGCAGCGAACATGAATCAGCTTCATTTGACCCCATTAAGCTGTGATATCTGCGTCCCGTTAACCTTTGCGCGTGTGGCACGGGCTGCCGTGAGGAGGCTCAGAGAGAAAAATGTCATCAGAGGGCGACCGAGCGCAGATGTGAAAACCCTCTGCTTCCCCGGGCCTCTGGTGATAAAATCGGGGTTTTGAAATAAAATGATGAAACTGGGGAGTGGGAGGAGAGGGAATTAGATCGTGTTATTTTGATTTAAATTAATACTAAATTGTGACTCAAATGTATGCTTGCTGAAATGAACGATGATAAATCATGTTTCAGGAGAAAGCTTTAAATATAAATTTTACTCCATTTTTAAAACTTGGCAGAGAAATCTGAACATGGTGATCTTTCTTCCTTTCACATTTATGACTTCTTAGGGATTTTGGTGAAATTAATTCGGCGTTTCAAGCATTTAAACCTCAAGAGTTTAAACTGTGAAACCAACATTTTTTTTTTATTATTGTCTAAAGTTTTACATACGTGTCCTTTTTCCCTGACTGACGCCCCCTGCCCCCAGCCATTCCCACCCCGGGCAAGCCCTCACTGCCCCAGTGTCTGTGTCCATTGGTTATGCTAACGTGCATGCTTACAAGTCCTTTTGAAAACAGCATTTTAAAAGATATATTTATTGTACTTCAGCTGGAAAATAAAACTAAACTGTAGGTGTAGTTTAATAAATAAGCTGGTTTACCTGGGACTTACTTGCTATTCTAAAATGCCCCCAGGCATTTCTAAGAGCTTCTAGAAGGGACTTCTAAAACCCTTCTCCAAGGAAGGGTTTACCCGCTGAACCCAGACCCAGGAGCTCCCAGCCAGAGCTCCGCTTCTCCGCCCGGAAGGGCTCTCAGTCCATGTCCGGGGAGGGCGGCGTGGAGGAAGCCATCTTCATAACGTGAGCCCGGAGCTCATTCTCACTGCTGTCGCCTGGGGACTTATTTACAGCAGAATCTGAAGATCCTGACCTGAATTATCTGGTGCTGCTTCTTACGCTTGTTTAGATGTACATGTGTGAGTCGCCCGGAAGTGCAGGCTGAGGAAGTCTGTTCCCAAATGTTTCTGCGTTCCGTATGAAACAATGCAGAGCATATTCCGAATCTATGTAAATATATGAGCACTCAATAGAATGCCTACCATACTGTTTGCATTGTGGATGCAAAAGAACTTTCTACCAGCTCGGCACCAGCATGCAACATGATGAATAAAAACTAAGAGTTTAATATCACAACCTGAAGGTCACCAACAGCAAACTAAAAAGAAATTGTGCAGGATCAGGATTTTCCAGCAAAACTGTTACCTGCCCATCTCATTAAGTTCAAATCTAGGGCACTCCCACAGATGCAGTGCTGCACTGTGACAAAAAAATAAAAATAAAAATAAAAATAAATCATCCTAAAACATGTTCTGTATCCCAATAGAACTCTTTTCCACGTTTTTCTTTCTTTCTTTCTTTCCCATTCCCTTTGTACTTCTCTAAAAGGCTTTTGTTATGTGACTGTACGAATACACTTTCGAGTGTTTTTGTGTTTAATGAATAAGATCATTTTAAAAATATTTAGCTCACTTGTAGAAATATGACAACATCAAAGCTTCTAGGCAGAGGGTGAGAACGTTTTTGGTCATGAATGGGACCTGGGACCGTTTCTACCTAGTCTGGTGGTGACATCTCATCACTTCTCCTAGGACCAGGGCTGCTGCTGATGGAGGAGCAGCAGGCAGGAAACACCACCTGGGAAATCCAGCTTGGAGACCCTTCTCTGAGGAGCAACCAGGACACTGCAGTGAGTATGTTCGTGTCTGTATATGTGTGTGCACACGCGCATATACAGGGTGGGACAGAAGTAGGTTTATAGTTGTGAGTACGTGAAAAACAGAGTTTATTCTTGTATTATTTTTTATTCTATGATCTTCCAAACAAATAACTGTAAGCCGACTGTTGCCCCACCCTGTATGTGAGACTCAACAAGGTACTTTGAACAAACAAGACAAACATCTCATGTTCGCTAGTGAAAAAGTGCTATGAAGAAGACTAAAGCAGGATAAATGGGCGCAAGACGAAGAGTTTGTTCTCTGGGCACGCAGACGGACATACTGCCTACACAGCGGGTGTGTGTTCGTTAGAAAAGCTCCAGCTATGGAAGTGTAACTAGTAGTGTGCAGCATTCTATGGGCACTTACTAAGGACAGGTTAAGCCAGCATCATGCATCTCCACTTTTTACCGATTCCTTTCATGTGGTGATCACAGTGCTTCTTTGAATGCTGTGACCACACATCAGTCTCACGGGATTGAGCTGCCTCTTCTCATGGGTTCATCGCTCAAATGCTCTTTGCCTGAAGAACGCGATAGGATCATTTTGGCTTTTCCCTAACGCATCATGAGAAGTGGTTTGACTTTCGTGTCAGTTTTGTCAAGATGGAAAAGCCAAGAAATTGTTCTGCTAATTATATTGGTTGTGATTGTTTCAGAAATTCAAACCCTGAACCTTCGCTGCCATACAAGAGCCAAACTCAGCCTGGCCACTGCGACTCAGAGCCACGCTGCAGTCCAAGCCCACCGGGCGAGGAAGGAAAGACGGCTCCCAGCGCAGAGGGCACTGTGCGCGCCGACCCGAGGGAAACGTGAGTGCCAGAGTCTCTCACCTTGCCGTCTCGGGAAGCCGGGTAGATGGGGTAGTAGAGACAGGACTTGTGTCCCAAGCGGAAGATCTCCTTCAGGAAGAACTTGGTGTAGTGCCGGAAGATGGGGTTGATGGCGAAGTGAAACAGGTGTGCGTGCTCTTCGCGCTGGTGGTGACTGAAGTAGATGAAGTCTTCGATGTTGTAGTGGGACCGGATGTACTCGATGTCCTGAAAGGGGGCGGGGAAAGGACATGTAAGAATGTGTTAAGCAAAGGGCATGCGTTTTGTGATGCATACATTTTAAAGAGCAGTTTAGGTACCGTAGTAAGAAGTATGTTTTTCTCCTGTGATTTACTATCGATACTTCATCCTCCTTGTTAATTGTTAAGAATTAAAAATTCTTTCTCACAAAAGCTATTGTTCTGATGGCTTGTCTCTGGGGCTGCATGGCTTTGGATTTGTTCCTCACAGAGAGCCTGTGTACGTGCTAGAGACCAGGTATCGGGATGGAGCTCTTCACCGCGATGGGCAAAGAGGGCATGAGCTGGTCAGCACAACCGACCACGCAGGTGCAGATGTCAGGAGCAGGACAACCCCCCACCAGCATCCTCTGGACTTATTGCTGATCCCATCACATATTAATGTGGAAATGAGTCACCCCACAAGTCACACACCTTGATTGGCACATGTGGCTGGGTGGGCCTACAATGAAACTGTGAGGTTGGACCTCAGCCATAGGCATTTCTTAAACTTTTTATCTCTCTGGGACAGTCATGTGCTGCTTAACAACTGGGATACACTCAGAGAAAGGCATCTTTGGGCGGTCTTGTCATGCTAACATCATAAAGTGCAGGTGCACAAAACATAGATGATACCACCTCTTCCTACATAGGCCATACGAGATAGCCTGTTGCTCCTAGGCCACGAACCCATACAGCATGTCACTGTACAAAACAGCACAAGGTTAAATCAAGCACAAGAGAAAATGGTGCCATCAAGAAACTCAGTAAACCCGAGATGTTTAAGGTGGCATACTGTTTTACAGCAGACTTTGTTTTATTTTTGTTAATCCTCCCCAGAGGATATTTTCCACTGATTTTTAGAGAGAGTGGAAGGGAGGGGGAGAGGTAGAGAGAGAGAGAATGACTGCCTCTCGCATGCATCTGGACCAGAATATCCTGCCTGAAACTGAGGTTCACGCCCTTGGAGGGAAACAACATTCTGCAGGCCAACGCTCTACCCACTGAGCAAAACCGGCTAAGGCCAGGCTTTTTTTTTTTTTTTTATAAGTAGAAAGAATAGATTTTAAAGTAACAATTAAAAGTACAGTAAATATGTAAACCAGTAACATAGTTGTTTATTACCATCACCAAGTGTTATGTACAGTTCGTAATTGCATGTGCTATGCCTTTACTGGTATCTGACTGGTGGATTTGTTTACACCAGCATCACCACAAAGATATGAGTGAATGAATGAGTGCTGCATTGGGCTATGCCATTAGGACAGCTATGACAGTGATAGGAATTTGTCAGCTCCATTATACCCTTATGGAACCACCGTCCTATATGCGGTCTGCCATGGATGTTGTTGTGTGGCACATGACTATTTAATTTTTTGTAATTTTTAAATTGATTTTTAGAGCTAGAGGGAGAGAAAAAAGAGAAACGTCGATGTAAGAGAGAAACATTGACCGATTGCCTCCTGCACGCGCCCTGACCAGGGATCAAACCTGCAACCTGGGTATGTGCTTTGGCCAGGAATTGAACCTGCTAACGTTCAGTGTACAGGACGACACTCCAACCAACTGAGCCCCTGGCCAGGGCCTGTGTCCCTTTTTACACTGTGGGAGGTAATTTAAAGGACTGGTGAGTGTTTACTTGTGCCAGGAAATACTGCACACACGGTTCCTACTTCTTTTGGGCCTGGCAAAGATCAGAGCATGTGACTCGCTCATAACAGCAGTGCCCACACTTGATATGCAGGAAAAATCAAACCACATGCAGACTGAGAAGCACCTACTTATAGTTTGTCTTTTCACAGTAAAAATGTCTTAAAAGCACACTTTCAACAAGAGGAATTGGCCAGGCTGGCATGGCTAAGTGGTGGAGCATCGACCTATGAACTAGGAGGTCACGGTTGGATTCTCGGTCAGGGCACATGCCCGGTTACAGGCTTGTTCCCCAGTGTGGGGTGTGCAGGCGATAGCCAAACAATGATTCTCTTTCATCAATGATGTTTCTGTTTGTCTCTCCCTATCTCGTCCTCTCTGAAATCAATTAAAAAAATTCTTTTTAAAGTAGAATTGAAAATGCAAGGAACTTTATTTATGCTTTTATTGCAAGGCTGACACTAGAAAATCCTTGAAAACTGTGAGGGTTGTGTCTAAGCTCCTCAAGGTTCCTTGTCTTTCTAGCGCGTGCGCGCACACACACACACACACACACACACACACACACACGAAACGAGGTTGGGGTAACCAGGCCAGTGGTGGTATCCAAGGGAAATTCTGGCAATGTGTGACCTTTCTGTCTGCATGGACCCCATACCTGCCTTTACACTTAACATATTTTACTTAATTACCTACGAGGCATCCCTCATTATAAAATAAAATGAGTGATAAGTGTCGGACTCAGAAATCAGTAAAAACAAAGAACCAATAGAGGTTATTAGCTCAAAACAGCAGATGGGTCTTGTGCATCTAATTTTGTCCCCCTCCCAAATCCCTTAAACTTAAACAAAAAAATTATTTCTAAAATAATGAGGAGAAGTGATGAAGGGACACAAGAGTAAGGCAGTTTCACCTTAGAAGGAAACATACCAAAGTTCTCTACCACAAGGTGAACCCTGCCTACCTGGGTCCTTGCCTGCTGCTGCCAGTACCACCGCCAAGCACCACAAGAGGAAGTCAGATGACTGATGCCCCTCCCAATGAGACGGGGGTGGAGGGGGAGTGGGGGTGGGGCGCGGGCAGGCCTCCAGTGACTGGAGAGAGGCACTGGAGACAACTGTCAGGCATACCCATGCCAGACAGCCATACTGGTAATCTGATCTGTCAATCATGACATGAACAGACTTTGGAGGAAAACTGACAAATGCAAAAGACCAGAATAGGGAAACATACAACTTACACTCCAGAGAAAACAGAGGTTATTTAGGGAACAGAAAGAAGAGAATTAAAAAAAAAAAAAAAAAAAAAAAAAAAAGCTACTTAGTATCCTCAGAGATACCAAAAAGGATTTTGAATGTAACATAACAAACAAAGAGGCTACAAAAAAGAAACAAGAAAAAGACTTGGAAGTTAAATATATGAACCCTGAAATTAAAATCTCAATAGGGGGCCTGGATAATAGAAGGGACATGACTGAAGACTGAATTAGGGATCCAGAAGCCAAATTAAAGAAATCTAGGAAAATGTACAAGAGATGAATAAATAAAGAAGAAAGTTAAAAGATAGTAAAGGATCAATTCAAAAAGTCCAATATCCATCTAAAAAGGAACCCAAGAAGAGGAGAATAGAGAAAATGAAAGGGAAGAAACAGTTAATGAAATCATAGAAGGAAGATGTTCCCAAGTTCAAAAGAGGTATAAGACACTTCTTGGTAAGATTTCACAAATTCAGATATAAAAACAAAAAACATAGAAGACATACCAAAGAGAGAGAGAAAACAAACAAGTATACATTTATTTATATCAGATTATATTTTATCAGTGACCCTGGATTCTGAAAGAAAATGAGAGTAAAAACAGCAACATCCTAATGGGAAATAATTCTTATAAAAATTATATACACATCCTGCTGGTGTTGCTCAATGGTTAGAGTGTTGGCCCACACTCCAATTGAGCCAAGGGTCACAGGTTAGATTCCTCCTCAAGGTATATACCGTATTTTCAGGTTCAATCCACAGCCCTGCTTGAGGCTTGCACGGGAGGCAAATAATCAATGTGCCTCTCTCACATTGATGTTTCTCTCTCTTTTCCCCACCCCTCCCTTTCTCCCAGACTCTCTAAAATTCAATGGAAAAAAAATATCCTTGGGTGAGGATTAACAACAACAAAATTCTATTATAAACACAGCAAACAAATATTCAAGTGTGAGGACAAAATAAAAATATCTTGTTTATGTATGTACTCAGAGACACTGCCTACCACTCTCTCTAAAAGAATTTACCTCAAAAAAGAGATAATGAATCAAAAGAGAAATGAATCTAAGGATAAGGTGAGTTTGACTACATTAAAGGAAGAAAGCCATATGAACATCTCAATAAATGCCAAAAACACATTTGATAAAATTCAATACTCACTCATAATAAAAACTTTTAGTAAACTAGAAATGGGAGAGAGCTAGCTGCCTTGACTTGATAAACAATATCTCCCAGTAACTACAGCAAATATTTTACTAAATGGGGGGAAATGCAGAATCATTCCCATTAAAATAAGAAAAATCACAAAAGTATCCATTATAAACACTACTATGTGATGCTATTCTAAACATGCAATAAAACCGGGGGGGAAATAAGATATAAACATTTTTAAAAGAAGGCATGGCAGATTCTGCATTTCAAAGTTGGCCATGATGGTATTTCCTGTCCCTCATGCTATCTACAGAGAGAAGTTGTCACATCATAAGTTGGAGTCCATTTCTCCATCCCTGGAATCTGAGCCTGTCCTGGGACTGCTCTGACCAGCAGAATGATGGTAGACGTTATGATGGGTCAGAAAAGAATCAGCGGAAAAGCTCTCAGAGCTACTAAGAGCCCCCAAAAAGCTGGTTGGATATAAGAATACAAAAATTAGTAGCTTTCCCACATCTCAAAATAAACATTTTGAAAGTACATCGAAAACAACATGTCTAGCTGTAATATCCAGAAAAATATGAAACATGTAGAAATAAATCATAAATGTCCAGGACTGTTTTGGGGAGGGTCTTAGCAGGAAAAGATGCGTGTTCAAATGAGTATAACTGGAGTTTAACAAAGGGACCATTTACAAGGAGAGGGCAGGATACAGAGAAACCAGTAGCGATGATGTAGCAGTAACTCCAAGCTATTACCACCCTCATGAGAGGTACTGGTTGCTGGAGTCCAGTAAGAGTCATGGAGAAGAGGCTGCCCTGAAAAGAGGAGGGAATTCAGCGGAGAGACCAGCCCGGGGCAGCCCAATCTCACTTTCCTCCCTCCCTCTGATCAGGGTTCCCCATTGGTCAAACCTAAGTGGGAGCCAACAAAGCACCCATGATGCTGCCCATCAGGTTAGGCTTCCTGGGACAGAACAAGCCAGAGAAAAGAGTGAGCCTGCAGGGGTAAACAGAGTGCCCGGCACACACAGCCTGTATGAACAAAGCCACAAAAGTTTTCTGAAGGCTCTAGCTAGTTTGGCTCAATGGCTAGAGCAACAGCCTATGGACTGAAGGGTCCCAATTTCTACTCCAGGCAAGGGCAAATGCTGGGGTTGTGGCCTCTCTCCTCAGTCAGGGGGCATGTAGGAGGCAGCCGATCAGTGATTCTCTCTCATCATTGGTGTTTCTATCTCTCTCTCCGTTTCCCTTCCTCTATGAAATCAATATATATATATATATGAAGTTTTCCAAAGAACCCAAAAGAATTCAACTACCACCACAACAAAAATAGAGAAAGCTATGTTCCTACAAGAAGCACCTCAATATTTTAATTGTCAATTCTTCCTGAATTTATAAAAATAAAAGCATAATATGCAAATTGACCAAATGACTGAACTGAACAGAAGAACAACCTTTCAGACCACCATGCCATAACATGCATGCCAAGGCAGGTGCGATGCGATTGGTCGGAGGGTGGGGGGGCGCCATCACCCCATGATCACCCTGCAGAGGGAGGCCCAGACCACCGTCTGTAGGGTGATTGATGGGGGGCTCTGTGATTGATTGCCCCAAAGAGGGAGGCTCAGGCCAGCCAAGCGATCGCACCCCATGCCTGTCACCAGCAGAGGGAGGCAACTGGTGGCAGGGGAGGGAGGGCAGCGCCTCACAGCTGGCAAGCAGTGGCAGTGGCAGCGGTGGAAGCAGGGCTAGTTGCCACAGCTGGGGGAAAGAAAGCCCCAATAGGCCCTGATCGCCCTCCAGGCTTAGGGACCCTACCCGAGGGGTCCCAGATTTTGAGAGGTTGCAGGCCGGGCTGAGGGCTTCTAGTTGTTCTATAAAATCTATATAAGTACAAATAAATTCATAATAAGTATTACAAGGTTTATCTGGAAGACAATTAAAATTTAGGAGAAAAGACTCCTCCATCAGATAGAAAAGCATAAAATAATGCCATAGATACCAACAAATAAATCCATGGAACAGAATAGAGAGTAAAAATAGAGGCAGGCACATGGAAACTTAATCATGTAAAGGCAGCATTTTAAATCAGTAGGGCAAGAAGCTACTACCTGTAATAACTACTTTGGAGTAACTGACTGTGCACTTGGAAAACATATATTCAAATGTCCACTTGACAAAACACATGCACAAGTGTGCAGCAGCGCGCGCACGCGCACACACACACACACACAGAGCGTGTAAATAAGTGTGAGGAAAAATGTTGGAGAGATAAATGCCTAACTCTCAATAGTAGTAATCCTTCAGGAAGAGCCGTGGGATTCTTTTCTGATGGTGGTGGAAGACTATTTGAATTTTTAGAATGTGAATGTGTTCATATACTCTTTGCAATATTTTAAACACTTTTGAGCTGGAAAAAAAATGAAAATTTAAGAGGCTATCAAGTGGGATGCAAGGAATAAGAAGCATTCATATTAAATAAGTAAAAATGAAAACTTCAAAAGAGGCATTGTGTGCTACTTCATGAAATAAAGAGGCACAATCAAGGAAATCAATATCCATTTTGCAATTTACCATTTCGTCTCTGATCACTGCAATGCCAACCACTTGTTCTGCCACCTCAGCTACAAATGCCTGCAGTGGTGTTCCACCCTGAAAAGATGAATATATTTTTAAAACCCTAGAAAATATCGCCATCCATGTTCCTGAAAACAGTCAATAGTAGGTTTGAACCATAATCACACAATGGTCAGAACCCAAGTCTATCACCACTTACCCTTGGGCCATGTAGCAAGTGACATGGCCACCCTGTGTTCACTTCATCTTCATTCAACCCTGTAAGTATTATCATTCTATCTCCCTCATTTCGGAGAAAATGGGTTTGAGAGGCTGAGTAACTTTCCAAGCCCTCCTGCTGGTAAAGAATGACTCTGCGATTCAAATGGCATTCCCTTGACTCAGAATCTTTCTTTAGATCTATCAATACATCAGTGGTTCTTGAATATTGTGACCTCAGGACCCCTATGCCCTGAGGACCCAGGGAGCTTTGGTTATATGCATATGTCACTGTTTTCGGTATTAGTAATTAAAACTGAGACCATTTTGAATTTTAAAATTTTTGTTTAACCTATTAATCGAAACAATTTTTTTAATCTGACAAAAATATTTATAGAACAAGAAGTTGCATTGTTTCATATTTTTGCAAATCTCTAACGTCTGGCTTAATGGAAGACAGTTGGAGTCTCGTATTTGCTTCTGTATTCAATATGTTACAACATGTTATTTTGGTTGAAATACATGAAAAAAAAATCTATCTTCACAAAGATACATAGTTGGAAAAGGGAGAAGTATTTAAATAATCTTTGCATATAATTATGGATATTCTTTTTTTATGCTCCACCCAAACTCACTAAGTGGTAGTGTTTTAAAGATTTAAAATCTTTACATGTGGAATCTGAAACCATATCAATGAAATTTTGTGTGTGCTTCTACCTTAACTCGCATTTGTCTACTTGACACTTTGAATGATTCTTTTATTATATATCTATGCATGATTTTGTAGCATCATGTATTGTTTATCTGGAAAACATTGGTTCACACCAAGCTCATTCAGATTTTCCAAATGTAGACCCATTTTATAACAAAATATCAAAACATCACATTTCGTATCATCACCACCAGGCTTATCAGAAAAAGTCTGTTAAGTATTAGGAAGCTGTCAAAGTCACAATGGCAGAGATTGATTTTCCAAAATTATAATTTTTTTCTTGAAAGCTTGACTTTTAACACAGGGGACAAGTGTTGTCAGTTGTTTTCTTGGAGTGGCAAGCTCACCTTTTTTTTTTTTTTTAAGACAATGTCTGCCAACTACCTGAGACTGAATACCCACATTGTGTCTGCCAACTGTTCCTTCAAGTACCAACGGTGTTCTGTGAAAATGCCAGCCAGGCCAGCATGCACCTCAGGCAATGGCAGAACTGCCTTTTCATTGAAACAGCCAGCAGGCTTCAGTCTGAGGCCATTGAGTTGTGTGAGCACTTCTCATTTCGCACACAGAACACTAAAAACACATGCACTCAATGATTAGGACTTAATCAAGTTAACTGTTTTTACTGTTTCAACTTAAACTGACTTTCTCTGGGTGTTTTTTGGGGGAGTGTTTGTTGTTGTGTTTTAATTGAAATGTCTGTTGAGATAGATGTAGACTCACAAGCAGTTGTAAGAAAAATACAGAAAGATTCCTTTTACACTTTGCCCAGTATGCCCTACTGGGAACATTTTGCAAAACACTAGTATAATACAACAAGCCGGGAACACACGCTGATATGACTGTGTGTGTGTGTGTGTGTGTGTGTGTGTGTGTGTGTGTGTAAGTTCTAGCCAACTGTATCCCCTTTATGGGTTCATGCATGTACCACCACAGTCCTTGGGGCCACCAGTGAGGAGACGAGCATCCTCACTTCCTTCAACCTCAGTTTCCTTCTCTCTCTCTTCTTGTTGCCATCTGCTAGCACACCATGCTGCTCCCAACACACGATTCTCCCATGGAGGTCCAGGGAGATTTCAGGTTGACCCTCCATGGATCACAATGGTCCCATAACATGACGAAATGGAAGCCAACCTGGCCATAGCAGGTACTTACAGGGTCTCTCTGAGCATCATTGTATTGCTTTAAATCCTCTAATATGCGTTTATTGAGTTTGAGGTTACTGATGAGATATTCAACACCAGAAGTATCCAATAAAGTGGCTAATCTTATCTTAATCTTCCTAGGTAAAGAGAAATATACTTTCTTTAGGTTAAAGTACCAAATACATATTCTTCCCAAATGGACACAGAATTATAACATCATATTTCTGTAAGACAATAGCAGCAAAATGTCTTTATATGACATTGGGTTTGATTAATTATAAAAGTAACTCTTTCATTGTAAGAAACCTGGAAAAACATGAAAAAAAGTGCAAAGAATAAGGAAAAACTAACTGATAATGTCATTAATCAGAAACAACACCAAGTTACACTTTAAATTATTATAATTAAAAATGTTCAGCACCATGCTTTATTTCATATTTAATTCATACATAAAGCCAAATTCTTCCTAAAAATTTTTAAGCATGTTAAGATGTTAATAAATTACATTTAACCTGGGCTGGTTTCATGAGTCTTAATTGTTTTGTTTTGTTTTGTATTGTTTTGTTAATTCTCACCCAAAGGTATTTTTTTCATTGATTTTTAGAGAGCATAAAATGGAGGGGGCGGGAGGGGGGAGCAAGAGAGAAAGAGAGAGGTTGAGAGAGAGGGGAACATAATATCAAGACACATCAATTGGTTGCCTCCTGAATGTACCCAAACCCAGGCTGGGGATAAACCTCCAACCCATGTACGTGTCCTTGACCAGGAGTCCAATCCGCAACCCTTCACTGCCCAAGCTGATGCTCTAACTACTAAGAAACATGGGCCAGGGCTTGAGTCTTAATTCTTAACAATTGTATCTTTGATTTTGTGTTTTTATGTGAAATTGAGTAAAACAATAGTGTAGGGAGCAGTTATAGGGTTAAGCCTCGGACTGACCTGCTGGGAAAGTTGCAAAGAAGTCCCAGCTGGGAGGGCACAGCCCTCTTAGCATAATTAAGCTTGATCTTGTGACTGCTCCCTAGATCTTTCCTGGGCAGCTAGTGGGCTGTGGGAGGGGCAGCAAGTGCTACCTAAACAAGAGAAACTTACCAGAACATTGTAAATTACCTTGTTTACCCCTGACTATAAATAAAGCCTCAGCTTTGCAGTCTGGATCTGTTCTGTAGCCTCAGCCAAGCACAGAAGATCCACTTAGACCCAGCTTGTTCTCTGTCTGTCTCTTTCTTCATCCTTCACCGCCCTCTCAGGCTCAGCCTTTGGCTGTGCTGGTGTGGCTCACAATAGAGCATGTCTGGGGGCTTGGAGCCTTGGCTCACATGTGGTACCACCTCCCACCATCACTCCATGATGCGTTCTCTCCCACACCCTGCTCCATGCCTGCTGCTGCCCTGTACTGGAGGAGAAAAAGGTGTTGCATTCGTGGGGGAGGCCCACATTCAGGGAAGCCCACCTCAATGGGGTCCTGGACACAGATATGGGAAGGATAGAGGGTCAGATGTCCCAGAGTCTCTAGTCAGAGCATGGTGATGGCAGTGCCACCTGGGCAGGCAGTGCCGTCAAGTATTCAGCTGGCAACTCAGCATGGCACCTCTTCCTCAACCTCCCCCTCCTCTCCAACCCGGGTACTTTGTGAATCTTGGTGCAGAGCTTGTTAGCTGTTGGGGATGACATTGTAGTGGTGGGCCCACAGGAAGGGGAGATGACTTCCCCATCTTAGGTCAGAGCCCCACACTGTCATTTTGCAATGGGCCCAGCATATTCTTTAGCTGGCATTGTACTGAATGCTCTCAGTCACTCAGGTGTAATTACTAAATTGGACAGTGCAATTCTTACTAACATTAATAAAGTGAAATGTGGCATATTTGCAAAAAAATAATCTATATCTATAATTAACTTGTATGAAGATTAAAATTAATATCACCTTCATTTTACAAACAGTTATTAAGTGAAAAATAAGAATTTGGTTCTGATGGGGCCACCTGACACCAAAAATCTAGTTCAGATGGATTGAAGAAGTAGGAGTCGCGCACATTGCGCGCAGAGGACAGTCTGTTGACTCTGATGCTAGACTCCTCTAGCGGGAAGGAGAAAAAAAGCTCCAGACTGGAGGAACTCGACGAGTGCTCCCCCCCTCTCCCCACCCCCACCCCCCCAGCCTTTGAGACTGCTGAGTGCAGGCAATGGAGCCAAGGCCAGGGGCTGCTTCCTGGGCGGCGGTGCTGACCCCGGCAACAGGCTGAAGCAGTGCAGGAGCCGGAGGAGAACAAAGGAGTGCCACAGGCCAACCTGCTGAGCTTCCAGGACAAGGAGGAAGAAACCGAAGAAGTTCTCAATGTGAAGAAATCAAGGGAGAGCAAAAGATAGTAAAATTACTTAAGAAATAACATAAAGAAGATCTTGAAAAATCAAAGACTAAGTCAGAACTCAACTCAGCAGCCAACATTGCAACATAAATGCGTTTTTAAAATAAAAAAAAATAATAATAAAAATAAAAGGACAGAATATTGGATTGAAAAAGACCACAAAACTACTAGGAGAATACCCAAGATAATTAAAAACATATGCCCACAACAAACCTTGTTCCTGGATGTTCACAGCATCATTATTTATAACTAGAGGCCCAGTGTATGAAATTCGTATACTCAGGGGAAGGAGGTCCCTCAGCCTGGCCTGTGCCCTCTCGCAGACTGGGAGCCTTTGGGGGATGTCCGACTGATGGTTTTCCTATCACATTATAGGACAGATATCACTCGTGGTTTATGCTCATCTATACATTATTAGACCACGACTGAACCGTTCAATTTGATGAAGCTCATATATTGTAATCCTACATATTTTATTTTAGGTATTAAAAAGAGGGGTCCTTGGCAGAAAACAGGTTAAGAACACCTGCATTCCTGGTCACATGGTCTGACTTCGTGGTTTATAAGCATCACTTTCCCTGCTTTGCTGAGGGTGGATGGTCGAGGCATGGAGACACATTCAGGTGGTACAGGCAGGAGGTGGCGGCGGCTGGGGCCAGCATGGGAAGTGGGTGGAGTCTGGATGCAATTTGAAGGGAGAACCAACAGGGCATGCTGCAGGGTTGGAAGTGAGGCATGTGAGGAAGAGAGCCCAGATGAAGCCTAGGGTTTGGGTTCCCTGAACCACGCGAAGGATGGAGTAACTAAGGCAGGAGAGACAGCTGGGATGGGGCTTTGGCATGAGATTGGGATAACTATTATACAGCCATATTGAGAGAGAGAAACATCGATGTGAAAGAGACACATCAATTGGTTGCCTTCCACACTCGCCTTGACTGGGGCCGGGGAATAAACATTCAACTCAGGTACATGCCCTTGACGGGGAATCAAACCTGTGACCTTTTGGTGCATGGGCTGATGCTCGACCACTGAGCCACACCGGCCAGGGCGATAGGGCAATTTTTTGATGCCAGTAAGTCAAAACAACATTATGGAAAGAAGAAACAGTAATTTGAGTCTTTCCAAATTCCGAAGGAGTGATCTGTGTAATAGATCACAAAACAATTCAGCCATCACAGTATTTCAGTATGTTAGGTTACATTAAAAAGGGAAATAGAGCTGAAACCGGTTTGGCTCAATGGATAGAGCATCAGCCTGCGGTCCCAGATTCGATTCCGGTCAAGGGCATGTACCTTGGTTGCGGGCATATCCCCAGTAGGGGGTGTGCAAGAGGCAGCTGATTGATGACTCTCTCATCGATGTTTCTAACTCTCTCTCTCCCTTCCTCTCTGTACAAAATCAATAAAATATATTTAATTTTAAAAAAAGCACCAGAAGGACTGATAGCATGGAAACACTCTCAATAATGACACAGGCCTGAAATGGTATAACGGTGACCTGCTGGGAAAAGGGACCTGGGATATTCCTGACTCACCCTTGGAAAAGCAAACAGAACCACACACTGAGGGGAGAACCCATTTAGAAGCAAGCTGCCCAAGGGCATTTTTATTTACCAAGCAAAATTGAACATCGGTGGTATGATCTAACGTAGCAGTAAATATTTATTCATAGAAAAGTTCTAGCACAATAAATTTCAGTTGGATAAAAAGTAAGTTTGAAATATATTCCCCCAAATTAAAAATGGCAAGTTCCAGAAAAGCCTGGTTTGGAAGGGCAGGCAGATGGCCAGAGTGCTCTCCGTTCATAAATAAACAAGAAGGAAAAGCCAGTGTGAAGAGTTCAGATGGGCAAGCAGGGCAAAAAGGAAGAAGAAGAATTTATACCACATTCTAATGTCATGTTGAGTTTGAAAACATCCTAGAAATCATGATATCAAGTAAAAAAGGTTAAAACAGTTAGGCCCTAGTTGGTGTGCTCAATGGTTAAAGCATCAGCCTGCACACCAAGGGGTAGCAGATTAGATTCTGGTCAAGGATTGGGGTTTGCTCCCTGCCCTAGGTCAGGGCATGTGCAGGAGGCAACCAGTTGATATGTCTCTCTCACATCGATATTTCTCTCTCTCTCTCCCTCTGTCTCTCTCTCCTCTTTTTCTCTTTCTCTCTCCCTCCCTCCCTCTAGAAAAGCAATGGGAAAAATATCCTCAGGTGAGGATTTTTAAAAAATATATATATATTTTATTGACCTTCCACAGAGAGGAAGGAAGAGGGACAGAGAGGTAGAAACATCGATCAGCTGCCTCCTGCACACCCCCTACTGGGGATGTGCCCGCAACCAAGGTACATGACTTTGACTGGAATCAAACCTGGGACCTTTCAGTCTGCAGGCTGATGCCCTATCCACTGAGTCAAACCATCCAGGGCCTCAGGTGAGGATTTAAACAAACAAACAAACAAACAAATCTTCAGCTTGTACAAATTTAAAATGACAGTTAATGCAAGTATTCGAATTTGTTCTTTCCTCGAAGACCAGCAGTGGTAAGTGAAATGAGAGGGAGCCCTGGCGGCCTTTGTTGACAGAAGAGGCAGAGGCAGCAAACAGCTGAATGAATGAATGATGAGTCCCGGCCTCACCAGGCTGGCCAGAGGCCAGGTGACAACACAAATATAATTTCCCCGGGGAAGGGAAACAAGAATGGGTGGGAGACCAGAACATGAGGTCATGAAATTGAAAGTAAGCAAACTTAAGACCGAGGACAATTCATCCCAAATGTCAAGAGAAGTGAAGCAAAAAATAGAAGGAGAAAACAATGTATTTGAAAGCCATGGTGTCAAAAAGCAGATGCGGATGTCCTGTGCCCTGGCTGTGACCACGTGGCTTCCTCCCTCAGCTCTTTCCCCTTTCCCGGAGGGGCCTTTCCTTCACATCCCTGCATCCCAGCATCTCTTCTCCCCTCATCTGCTGTCCTCTTTACATCCCCCCACATTGCTTACACAGTATAGATTCCCTCTCTCCCCTTTACTTACGGCTTTCTCCTCTAACTAGAATGCAGGCCCATGAGAGTGAGGATTCTGTCTGCTTCCCCAGTACCTGGAGTGGGGCTGGCACGCACTGCGCAGTCAGTAGTCTGTACGGGATGAATGAAGGAGTGTGCAGGGGACTCTGGGAAAGGAAGCAAGTGCCTTCAGCCACTCTCCCTCTCTGCAGTTATGCACGGACCGGACCATAGCAATCTCTTGTCAAGATGATGGAAGCCAAAACCAGGCTCTACTGACGCCAGGGAAAGCCGAGTGGAAAAAGGAAAGAGACCAAGACCCAGAAGATTCAAACCCAAAAGCCCTGCTTATCTCCCAGTTATCTGAGTCAATATATGCCCTGTGGTTGAAGCCATTGTGAATTGGGTTTTCTTTTATTTCCAACTGAAAGCATTCCCACTAGTAACCTAAGTTTTGAAATTTATAAAAATGGGTTTAGAAAACAGCAGGTTAAAGGGAGGGTGTGTATGAAAAGACAAACACTAGAGAGAGATTAGAAAAATTAAAGCATTACCTGGTAGAAGTAGATGAAAAATCCGTAAGACTGTCATAGTTCATATATGCATTCTTATAAAATCTAGCCCAAGGGTCTATTTATGCAATACAAAAGGGCCTTCGTACCTCAACGGGTAACAAAAGGCTTAACATGTGGGTGTGGCTCACATGGTAACAGAAAATCTGTATCTGGAGGGGAGATAGAATCACTATTCTTTTTTGTGTATATTTTTGTTTTTGATTAATCCACATGGGAGGATATTTTTCCCATTAATTTTTAGAGACAGTAGAAGGGACAGGGAGAGATGGAAACAGTGATGTGAGTGAGACACACTGATTGGTTGCCTGCCATGCGCGCCCCAGATGGAGCCTGCAACCGAGGTACATGCCCTTGACTGGAATTGAACCCACAACCCTTCAGTCTGCAGGTGGATGCTCTAACCACTGAGAAAACTGGCTAGGGTTCACAATCTACTAAAGGATATATCCGTATTCATAAAAATGGTATATTCACCTCCAGTGCTTTTCAATCCTTAATGTGCATAAAAAGCAAGTGGAGTACTTGTTAATAACACAGAGCTGTGGGGAGTAGCTCAATTGCCCGTTTCTTCAGGAATGTCCCCAAATTTGTGTTGGGCAGTACACTCCTCCCTACCCAACCTCCGAGCTATGGGAACAGACCTAGCTGATGCCAACCAGCAGCCTCTGGTCCAGTGATGAGGTCAAGGTCAGCACAGGACCCAACCTGAGCCAATGAGATGCAAACAGGCTTTTGTATTAGGGCTCCTAGAAAGAGGCATACCACCACTCTTTTCCTGTCGGAGTTGGTGTGATTAAAGGTCTAAAGCCACTTCCCCAATCCTGTAACCGCTGGGGAAGCACCAGTCTGAGAAAGGGTCAAGATGGAAGAGACCAATAATCAAACAGGGTCAGCTTTCTGATTAACCGGCATTGACCTTGAGTTCTTACTGTGCTCTGGGCACCAATAAATTCTCTAGTTGGAGAAGCCAATTTGATGGGTTTCTACCACTTGCCAGCAGAAGAATCCTAGCCAATATTCAAGTCTGGTGTAGAAAAATTCCAAAACTTAGGCAACATAAAGAAGAACATTAAAAATGATATATGATGCCGAAACCGGTTTGACTCAGTGGAAAAAGCATCAGTCTGCGGACTGAAGGGTCCCAGGTTCGATTCCGGTCAGGGGCACATACCTCAGTTGCAGGCACATCCCCAGTGGGGGGTGTGCAGGAGGCGGCTGGTCGATGTTTCTGTCTCATCAATGTTTCTAGCTCTCTGTCCCTCTCCCTTCCTCTCTGTAAAACCTCAATAAAATATATATATATTTTTAAAAATCATGTATGAGCTGAAACCAGTTTGGCTCAGTGGATAGAGCGTCTGCCTATGAACTGAAAGATCCCAGGTTCAATTCCAGTCAAGGGCATGTACATTGGTTGGTGCACATCCCCAGTAGGGGGTGTACAGGAGGCAGCTGGTCGATGTTTCTCTCTCATCGATGTTTCTAGCTCTCTATCCCTCTCCCTTCCTCTCTGTAAAAAATCGATAAAATATATATATTTTTAAAAATCATGTATGAGGCTCATAATAGCACCTAGAGGCAGCCACTGACCATCTCCCATGTTACAGGGCTGCCTCACATCAAGATCTGCATGCTGGAGATTTATTAGGGTGAGCTCATGGCACCCTCCACACGAGATGAGCCTGGGTGAGCACCACAGCATCCATTACATCTGCACGTCTTCTTTTAGTCCATTTAATTTATATGTTTTTTCTTTCTTTGAAAATTTAGGTCATATTTAAGTGCTGTTTTATATACTGGCATGTTTTATTGGCTAATATTACATTATGCGCATTTTCATCATTTAATATTTTTTAAGTAAATCACAAACATAGTTTTAGATTCCTTCATTTAGGTGCCATAATGTATTTAAGCACTCTCTTACTATTGGATAAGAGTATTTCCAATATTCTTTCATCTTCATACATAAATTTTTGTTTGCATCTCAGCAACAAGTTTCTTAGGACATATTTCTGAAAGTGGAATTAAAGAGTAAAAGGATATGAACTACTTTAGCATTCTGGCCAAATTGCCCTTTGAAATTTCATGTTAATTTACATTCTGATTAGTGCTATATTTGTCTCATTAAGAATTAAATGTTTCTAATTTTTATTTCTTACCAATTGACCAAAATGCTGTCTCATTTTTGCTTTGGTTTCTTCTCCCTAACTAGAGATAAGTTCAAAAATTTTAAAACATCTATTGATTTTATGTTTTGTTTTTCTTCATATGCAAGTAGTCTGGTCTTTGTTGTTGTTAGTTTTTCTATTCAGGTATTAAATTGTTTTCTTATTGATTTATTAAAGCTCTTTATATATCAAATATATCAACATTGTATATGGCATCTTTGTTTAAAATATCCTTCTATTAGTCAGCTGCATTTTAATTAAATTGGAATGGTTCAAAAAACATTATATACTAAAAAAAAAAAAAAAAATCTTGACGAAACCAGTTTGGCTCAGTGGATAGAGCGTCACCTGCAGGCTAAAGGTCCCAGGTTCGATTCTGGTGAAGGGCATGTACCTTGGTTGCAGGCACATTTCCAGTAGCGGGTGTGCAAGAGGCAGCTGGTTGATGTTTCTCTCTCATTGATGTTTCTAACTCTCTATCCCTCTCTCTTCCTCTCTGTAAAAAATCAATAAAATATATTTTAAAAATAAATAAATAAAAATACTATCTTAATTGTTTTTCCTTCCATGCTCTAAAAAGAACTTTTCCATTGTGTAACATGATAAAGATCAATCTTCACTCACACTACTTCCTCAGGAAAGCTTCCTCTGACTGGGCTGAATCTTCCAATGATACATACTTAGAACTATGTACCCATTGCTGGTACACGCATCACAGCTGCATGTTTACCTTTATGCGAGTGTTTATAAGCTTTGAAAGTATCAGGAACATGTCTGTATTCTGTTTACTGTTGTATTCTCAGAATTTGGCACAGAACCTAGCACTAGATTTAATATCTAATTTTGTATGACTTTAATATTTACATTTAATTCTTCAATCACCTGGCAATCTATTTTCCTGTAGACTATGAAGAATATTTTAATCTTTATTTTGTACCACCTTTATAGAATAAACTTTCCTTTTCCCACTGTTTTGACAAAAATTTTGTCACATACTTATGTCTAGACATACCTTTACTAACACATACATACACACACATACACCCACACACTCTAAATTCTTACTATATTGGGGCCTATAGTGGAACTTTCTCATGTTACATTGTTCTATCCATAGAATATTCCAACATGGCATCATTTTGATTATTGTAGAGTTACCTATTTTTTAATATCTGACTGTCCGGACATGTAACTTCTTGATATGACTCTGTCCCAAAATGTATTAGTTAAAATCACTTGATCAAGCCCTCACCACCAATAAGACAATTTAAAAAATAAATCATTAAACTGGAATGGTAGGGAGCTCCTTATTCTCTTTTTTTAACTTAATGGATATTCTTTGGGCCAAAGGTGCATGCCCTTACTTGAGCAATCCCGACCGGTGGAAGAAGTAGAGGTCCTGATCCAGGGTGCAGTTGTTGAAGGGGACTACCTTCACAAAGTTCTGGATGAGGACAAATTCAGGGGTGAGATGCGGCAGAGAAATGAGGCAGAAGTTCTTGTCCTAACAGGATGGGAGAAGTACACAAGGAAAGACAATCAGAAATCATTTATCACCACACTGAACAACATTCCTGCTGGAAAACAATAAAGAAAATAGGAGTGCCGAAACCGGTTTGGCTCAGTGGTAGAGCGTCGGTCTGCGGATCGAAGGGTCCAGGGTTCGATTCTGTTCAAGGGCATGTACATTGGTTGTGGGCACATCCCCAGTAGGAGGTGTGCAGGAGGCAGCTGGTTGATATTTCTCTCTCATCAACGTTTCTAGCGCTCTATCTCTCTCCCTTGCTCTCTGTAAAAAATCAATAAAAAAATTTTTTTTTTAAAGAAAGAAAGAAAATAGGAGCAAAATGTGTAAAGGAGAGGGTATGCAAATTAAACTTTCCTACAATTTGGAAAGTTATCATATAAAACTCAGCGGAATAAGCAACCACAAACACCTGACTGAAACCTGAATAAATGAATACTATGGAACAATGGAACCGGTTCAGCATGGCTCCTTTGTGGAAGCAGATTTTTAGGACATTTATCCTTTCAGATTCATTTGCTGCCAGGAGTGAACCAGGGACTAAGTGTAGTGTCACAGCAAAGGCCTGGGACTGACTAAGTGGTATTGTACCAGCCTGGTCCCCTCCTCAGTGAGAGGACTTTTCTTTTCTAAAATTCTGTGATTATACATAAAGAGATGTCTGTGTATGTTATGACATGATCCCATTTGGGTGAACAGATCTAAGGACATGTTTAACCTGGGCAGTGGGCTTGCTTAATCCACGTATTCTGACAGCTGCCACTGTACCAAAATATATCCGCACTGTCCAACATGGTAGCCAGTAGCCACATCTGACCACTGAGCATTTTGAATGTGGCTACTAAGACTTGGGAACTGAATTTTTAATTGAATTTAATTTTAATTTAAAAGCTGATACTGAATTCATTTATTGGAAACATTTTATGTATGTTTACAACAACTTGGTAATCCGAATCTACTTATTCAACTGTAAATTTTATAAAATCCAGATGCAGGTCAAGTATTTCTGATGAAAAATTACTGCTTGTATTGAATAGGCTATAAGTGTAAAATATACATTGAATTTAAAAAACTGAGAAAAAGAGTGTAAAGTATCTCGCTCATAATTTTTCCTACTGATTACATATTGAAATGATGAAATTTTGGACATATGGAGTTAAATAAAATATAGTGTTAAAGCTGAGTTCACCTGCATCTTTTTTATATTTTTTAATGTGTCTGCTGGAACATTTAGTATGACTACTTATGCAGTTCGAATTTGCTGTCCCCAACCAATGGTGCCTGCATATCCATTTAACCCTTGGCCAGGTGCCCATAGGAATAGCCTGCTCTTCCCAGAGCTAATTTGTCCCTTTGGGATCTTGCCTCCTCCTGAACTCTGTGAAGGTATTACTTATGCTAATCCAAAACCCTGGGGACATTTGTGCAACCCAATGGAGTGAACCATTGTTTGACCTAATCTTCCTTTTTTTTCTAGCAAAATAACACAGCTCCTCTTGGGGGCATGAGAGTCAAGCTGTTGAATGCAAAGAACTGCAAATAAGCACTGGGTGCCAAGCCTTGGTGGGCTTTCTCAGGAGGAGGAGACACTAATGAGTTGCTGTGACTGGGATCTGAAGGACTCAGAATGAAGCAATGACAGTATCTTATTTCTGTCTCCCCAAGTCCTGAAATAAGATATGATGAACAAGTAAACATGCCTTGCCCTGGCCAGGTGGCTCGGCTGGTTGGAGAGTCATCCCAGGCACCAAAAGGTTGGGGGTTTGATTCCCAGTCAAAGCACATACCTAGGTTTTAGGTTTGATCCCCAGTCAGGGTGCATAAGGGAGGCAATCAACTGATGTTTCTCTCACATCGATGTCTCTCTCTCTCTCTCTCTCTCTCTCTCTCTCTCTCTCTCTCTCTCTCTCTCTCAAAATAAATACAAACATATCTTTGGGTGAGGATTAAAAAAAAAACACAAAAAACAAAAAGTAAATATTTCTTTTACCTTTTTAAATTCTTCATTGCTTTTGTAATACAAAACATCTGCCTTTACATGGACTTCAAAATAAGAATGAATTGAGTTTAGTGACATTACTTTGGGGCACCTGGTTGGTGTGGCTCAGTGGCTGAGCACTGACTCATGATCCAAGAGGTCACCAGTTCGATTGCCAGTCAGGGCACACGCCTATATTGTGGGCTGGATCCCCAGTAGGAGTTGTGCAGGAGGCAGCTAATCAATTGATGATTCTCTTCACCACTAATGTTTCTATTTCTCCCTCCCTCTCCCTTTCTCTCTCTTTAAAACTCAATAAATACAAAGAAAAAAATTACTTTGGGGCATCTCTGAAGTAAACCAACTTTGTAAATCCTATTTGAGGATAATCTACATATAAGCTTTGAAATGCCTTAAAAATAAAAAATAAATATGATGGAGAACATTATTGCAAGGCTTCAATATATTAACCAAAAGGGTATACAATCTATGATCACAAAGTTTTCAGGCAACATAATCCAACTATATTTGTTCTTTGCTTCACTATAAAGAGTATCAAGAAAAAAAATGAAGCAGTAGATAGTTTTTTGTAATTGACCAACTGCAGAAGTAGAGTTGTTAACTTTTCTTAACTTTCAAGCCAGCATGGAAAAAGTCTTTATAAAAATCAATGTGTCCCTCAGTTATCTCCCTTCCCCACTTTCTTTCTCCAATAAAGTGGTAAAATGTTGGTGAGAACCTCTATCCCTTGACAACGATGAAACAAAAACGGAGAAAGAGGCAGGACACCCTGAGGTGTAGCATCTTGTTTGCACTTGGTTGTGTGTCTATGGCAGTGGTCAGCACACTGGGCTTGCAGCTAGCTGGCCGCAGTTTGCTGCTCTGTTGACTAATGAGTTTGCCTACCACTGCATAAGGTATTATCCTTTCCCAGAAGTTTTGACTTCAGGTTAGAGACATTAGCACATTATTAAAATGTTTTTTAAGTGTTTTTCCCTAAGGCAGTGGTCGGCAAACTCATTAGTCAACAGAGCTGACCACTGGCCTAGGGGAGCCCCTCCTACACGCCAGGCACCAAGACAGGTAGGACCACACTGGAAATCAAGCACAAGTACCCCCTTTCCTAGCCGCAGAAAAGCAATATAATGGTGTCAGAATTCCTTGAGCTAATGTAAGCTATAAAGTATTATGTACACAGATAATAATTTAATAAAATAAAATAAATTAAAAATAAATAAAAAAAAGAATAACTGTTGTAGGAAAAAAAAAAGAGAGAAAAAAAGTAATACGATAGTCTAATCCAGGCGTCCTCAAACTTTTTAAAGTGGGGGCCAGATCACGGTCCCTCAGAGAGCTGGAGGGCCAGACTATATGAACTACTAATTCCTACTGTAACACCTCGGCTGCGCTCACTGCCCAAAAAACCTGGCGGGCCGGATCAGACTCCTCTGCGGGCCGCATGTGGCCCGTGCGCGGGCCGTAGTTTGAAGACCCCTGCTAGAGGGTTTTCTATACATAACTTCTGACATTTTCATGTACTTACCAGCATTCTGTTAATGATTTAATTATTTAAAAAAACAAACAAAACATTGGTCATGCTATCTCTAAAAGAAATTGTGCAGTGAAAGAAAAATTATTAAAACAGCACTACAGGAAAATTATCGAAAAAATGACAATATTTTCTATTTTTAAGAGTTCATGTTATCTCAGTTAACCTTATTAACAGAACACAGAAGCAGCTGAAATCTCTACATTCAGAGCATTTTAAGTGTTTGGACAAGAATATGGCATTTCACTTTTCTAGTTTACAAAGCCAATTACGTTACTCAAAATTCAGCATGTACTTACAGGGAAAAGGCTGAAAACAAATTTCATAAAGTCCAGTGACCTGTAAACAGAACAGCAGTATGGTCACTGGCCTGCAAGCAGACGGTATATATTTAAAGAGACAGGCTCTCTCCCCCTCAGGCAGCGACTAGCCAACCACCTGTCAGAATCTGTGTCTAGCTGAACATATTATAAAACAGTTGCAGAAGCCATAAGCCTCTTACGTCAGTAAGGAAGTACTTTTCTAGAGCTGAAGATATATTATAGCAATTAATAATCTCTGCTCATTCAAAGAGCAAACTAGTCATTCTCGGACGTGATCCCTTCCAGCCTTTTCGGAAGAGCTGGGGAGAGATGTGGGTGTATTATAAGCTACTCTGACCTTTTTCTCTTTCACATGCAAAAGGTTTTCTGACCAGTGGCAGGTGACGTATATCCACATGGAAACCATAATGGGTCATCAGATTTCTGTTTGAAAATTCAAAAATCGCATTCCAAGCACAATCATAGATGAATGCACAGGGGGAAGTAAATATACGCAACAAATCTAGGAGGGGTTATGGGCTTTTTAGATGGCTACCCTATAATTAAAATAAACGGATTTCCTTTTTCAACCTTCCAGATGGCCAAAGAAATTGAAAACTTAAGAGGAAAAAAGTATAAGTAAAGGATAGTTCTAAGCGAGGCTATGAGACTGGAAATGTGTTTAAATACAATCTTTCAAAAGGAAATGCCCAGCAGTGCTCTTGGTCACCTAGAAGATATTCCAGAACCTTCCTGTCTATTAAAATGGACCAGTCTATTCCTCTGCGAGACGGTTCTGTGGACCAAACGGTGGAGTTGGTGGTTACCCTCCAAATGTGGAATCTAGGCATGGAGGGCAGGGGCCCCCATACAGACTACAGGGGGCAGCAGGCACAGAACATGGGGGTGCTCTGGAGGGGCAGGGAGTGGGTGACTGAGTCACCTGCATGGCACCATGACTCCTCCTTCCCCCAGCTGACCTAGATTGTTGTTCTTTGTCTCACTAACCCCCCTCTCAACTACCGCTGGGTGAGGCTCCAGCCCCAGATTCCAGAGAGAGCTTGAGGCAAGGGGCTCAGCTGCTCAGACCGGCCCAGACCATCAGCTCAGGAATGAGCACACAAACCGATGGGGCCAAAGAGCTTTAGATGGGGAATTAGGCCCAAACCAGACTCGTGCTCACGAGCTTTTGGTGCAGAGCCCGAGCCTACGGTCTACTTTTTTAGCCCCAATGGCGACACTGCTCTGAGAATGGGGCCAGCAGCAGGGAACCAGAACTGGGAGGTGGGGGAGAGAAACCTGGCCCTTGATTGGATGATTAAGTCCTGAATCAAGGCCCAGTGAGACTCAGTCCTGCCACTGCACTTATCCTTCATCATGTGAAGTCATTAGTCCATATTTTCAAAGCTAGTTTGAGATGGAGTTTCTGTTGCTTGCAACCAAAAAGAACAAAACAAACAAACAAAAACGCCCGAAGGACTTATATGCATGCATATAAGCATAACCAATGGACGCAAAACTCTGGGGAGGGAGGGCATGTATGGGAGGCGGGGAGGAGAGCAATGGGATGATATGTACACATGTAATACCTTAATTTAAAAAAATGAGGGGGGGAAAAAAAACCTCCAGTCAAGCAGAAACCCAAATCCCAAGTTTCCCCCAAATAAAAAACTCAGAGGATAGGGAGCAGCACGAGGTTACACAAATGATCATTTTCCAGATCCCCAACTGTTACATAGGCCAAAGTGCTGAGGGCCTTACCCACATTTTATGGACTGGAATCTCTGGGAATGGGGCCAAGGAATCTGTGATATTGAAAGAGTTCACCAGGAGATTAGGATTAGATGTGGCCAGGTTTGGAAACCATTGGCTCTGTAAGATTCAAATGTCAGGCCACCAACACCCTAAGAACGCCTTACCATAACAGACAACCTGCTGCTCGGTACTTGCCTGGCTTCATACTTCTCATCGATGCAAAACAGCTGGACACAAAAGGCGGAAGAGGCTCCCTTGTAGACGGGGCGGAAGGGGGTGGTGTCCCCAGGCTGTGAGGATGCCGTGCTCACATAACTGAAACGGGAACTCTTAATATCTTCAAGGTTCGACCATCTCATCTGAAACACACCCTGAGCCAGGCCTCGTGTTAAAGATATGTTCTTAATAAGATGTTTAAAATATATTAAAAATGTTTATAAAAGGATTGAAACATGTTCTCACACGAAGGTCAGAAACACAAGTGGTTTCAGTTGGCCTTGGGTACGGGAGGCACCTTTAAATGCATCCCTGGGTAGAGGTTAGAGCATGGTCGTATTCTTTACATGTTAATTCCATAAGCAAAACACCTCTGTCTTTAAAAAATAAAAAATAAAAGTGTTTTCATTGTGATTTTGTGCTACAAGAATTTGTGGATCTTGGGACTGTTCAGACCGTTTGGTGGTAAGGTGGAGCCTGGGAGGTCCGACTGCCCATAGGGACCTGGAAGCTTAGCTCTGAGTCCTTCTGGTCTCTTTGTAAGGTGACCAGACGTCCCGCTTTTGGCGGGACAGTCCCGACTGGTCACCTTATTTTAGGGGCTCTAAGAAGAGGTGGCAGCTCAGTCAGAGGGAAATGATTCCTTCAGCAATCCTTCTCAGAGTTCTTTTAAGTCAAAGTAATACATGCATATAGTAAAAATTAAAATAACGCTTATACCAAAAACTCATAATCAGGAGTCCCCTGTCGCCCCAAGTGCCTCTCCCCTTGGCTAGCATTTCCAAATTTCTCGTTTCTTTTAGTCTTTACCTCCATATTTCTGATTATGTGCTTACACTGTTATTTCTTAATTCATCGGTTTTTGAAGTTCCCTTTTTAGTATTAGTGTGATGGGTCGGGTAGATGTAACCCCCTTACACTACCTGCTTCCCTTTATCCTAACCCTCCCCCATAATTATAGTATAATTCATGGTTCAAGCAGTTAGTATTTACATTAAAATAAATATGTAGGTATCACTGTTACCGAGTGAGGAATGTAATATGACTGTGCTCTCATCTGTGTACTTTGATTTGATCCTCTTGATTTCCTAATTTTTTTCACAAGCTTTGTCAGATTTGCCACCTGTTTGTCAATCTTTTCCAAACAACCAAGTGCTTGGGATAATCTAGGGCTTCATTTCTTCTCTGCTCCTCCTCTGCCCTCGCCTTGCTCACCTGCCTGCTGAACCACCTGCTTCCTTGTTTACAGCTCCTACTCCAGTTCCAGGTGTTTTCCTTGTCGTCTTTGTCATGGTTTATGCCTATTATCACTGCAGCACCTTTCCAGCTTCCTAAATGCAACGGTTCTTGGTAGGTAGCAAAACTCAACAACTGGCCGGGTACTTTGTGGTGTGATCAAGCACAAACCTGGCATTTTATTGGGCGACCATCTCCAGGGACGTCATCTGGAGGCCTTTTCTCTTGGCCTGTCAGGTTTTGAGGGGAATTAAATTCTCCATTCGCCTGCATGAAGGACTTGGTAGGCAGAACAGTGGTCCCCAAAGATGTGCATGGCCTAATCCCCAGAACCTGCAGAGGCATGCGGTCCGCTGGCCGCAAGTTTGACATGCTTGCTTTACAGGGTAAAAGAGACTTTGCCCATGTCATTAAGTTAAGGGCTTTGATACAAGGAGATTATCTTGGATGCTCTGGATGGGCCCAAGTCATAAGGGTCCTTGTAAGAGAAGATCAGGAGGGTCAGAGTAGATGCCAAGCTACCAGCTTTGAAGATGGGAGAAGGGGCTACATGCCAAGGTACGAAGGTGGGTTTGAGAAGTCAGTAGGAGACTGACTTCTTCTCTCCAGCCTCCAGGAGGAGTAGGGCCCTGCTTGCACCTGGGTCATAGCACAGAAACACCTGTTTCGGGTGTCTTACATCCAGAACTGCAAGATTATACATTTATGTTGGGCGCTAAGCCACTAAGTTTGTGGTAATTTGTTGCTGTAGAAATAAAAGAAACTAATACAAAGACTTGACATTTGGGGAAAACAGCAGGAGGAGAATGCAAGGGTTCCTCCATTGGAAATGGGAAAAAATCCCACTTATTCTTCTATTCTTTGTGTTTCCCCATTCCACAGCCTCATGTGTATAGGCTGAACCTGACTTTGGAACCGCTTTTGTTCAGTCTCACCAGAGAGAGGTCATCTGGTCGTTTCCCTTGGGGGCTAGATGACAAGTGGTGTGCTATCTGCAAGGAATCTAGTGTCCCCGACACTATAACAGACCCAGTCCTGGCCCTACCTTCCACAGCAGACTAAGCCAGTGTGAACACCACCACTGATTTCCTTCTCGCCAAACGTTTTTAAGTGCTCACCTTCCAACATCTCTCCCAGTCTCACAGTCTTTGTAAAGTAAGCCCTTCTTATTCCTTTACTGTTATTTCAGTGTGTGTGTGTGTGTGTGTGTGTGTTTCCCCAAAAGGGAGAAGCAATAAACATGGGAGATCAATCCACCTTGTTGGCCCACATGCTCTCTGGGTTCCAGTACATCTGAGCAGCGGGGACCCTCCTGTGCCCACCACATCCTTGTTTGGGTTCCTAAAGGAATGGCTGCCCTCTTAGAAATATCGAAGAGAAAACTGCTCCCAGGTGCAGCATGCCTGACTCTCGTCTTCTCAAGGCATGGGGGGTGAGTGCCCTACAGTGGGTCACCCCAGAAGCAAACGCTGGCCTCGGCTTATTTGGGGAGTGAAGCCAGGAAATCCTGGGAGGGGAGTGGGAAAGTGAGGCAAGGAAGGGAAAGGACAGCAATGCAGAGTGTTTAATAAGGGGGTTACCTACTCAAGATCCCAGACTAGCAACCAACTAATATCTCTCTTTCTGTCTCTTTCCTCTCCCTGGATCCCCACCCCCACCCCCCGCTCCATTTCCTAGGATGAGGATTAAAACACACACACACACACACACACACACACACAAAACCCAGCAATAATCTGGCCTCTCCCAGGGACAGCAACTGGCAGAAGATGCTACCAGGGCCTGATCCATCACAGGAAGGAGCGGTGACGGGAACCCGGGATGCAGACGAATGACATATGCATGTAGGTGTGTATATGAGCACATGTTTGCACATCTGATAGGGAGAACTACAGAAAATTCTTACAAATGCTTTGCCCCTACAAAATCTTTTCTCTGAAGACAATGGAAAAAAAGTTAAAATTGCTAATTACTGAAATTGTTGCAAACAACTGATGTAGGAAGTGTAACTTCTTGGTCTGAGCTGTGCAAGAGACAGATAATAGAAGATTAATCCCAGTAAAGGAAAAGTTAATTGAGGGAAGTTTTGTGGAGTAGACCCTAAAGGAGGTAGCAGAGAGAAACCTGTGGAGAGAGGCAGGGAGCCTGGAGGAGAAAAGGTCACGGACTCGGGAGGCGAGGTGTGGACCATGTGGAGCCACCCAGACAGCACACAAAGCCCCGCGCAGAGCCCTACCTCCATCACACTTCCGAGTCTTGTTGCAAGGTCCTCCATTGAGGATTCTTCTACAATTCTCTCCTGCAAATGACAATGGCAAAACATGGGAATTAATCAGCGGCCCGGTGGCTCAGAGCCCGAGCTCAGATCCGCTTGGGTTCAGATCCGATGCTTGCTGACTGTGTGGCCATGAGAATGTTTCGGGGCCTCAGTTTCCTCATCTGGAAAAAGGGGCTAAGAGCAGCACCTACCTCATAGGTTTTTATGAGAATAAAATAAGGACAAATAGGTAAGACAGATGATAAAGAGGTAAGACAGATAGATATTTAAGCACAATGCTGGCAATTCCTAATTCTCTATAGATGTTGGTAATAATAACTAGCATAAAATATGTTTCTTCTTTATACTGTTAAAAAGCTGCATTAGGTTTTTAAAACCACTTTATTGAGGTGTAACTGACATATAATAAACTGCATGTATTTGAAGTGTACCTTTTGAAAGTTTTGACCTATGCATGCACCCGTAAAAATATCACCTTAAAAATAATGAGCATACACATCACTCCTAAAAGTGCCCCCACCCCCACCCCGTGCCATTCTGCAATCCAGGCGAACAATGACCTGCTTTTTGTCATTATAGATTATACTCAGAGTCCATGGATCATCTGTTCTGCTCCATTCATCTATGTGTTGACCTTGACACCATTACTCACAGTCTTAATTCCAATAACTTAATAGTAAGTCTTGAAATCAGAAGCATTAGTCCTATAACTTTGTTCTTTTCCCAAAGTTGTTGTGGCTACTCTAGGTTCTTTCCACTTTTGTGTGAATTTTGGAATCAAGTTTTCAATTTATATAAAAATTCCCCCTGGAATCTTGACTGGGATTTCACTAACCAATTTGTGAAGAGTTGGCAATATTGAGTCTCCGACCATGAACATGGAATATCAGGATATCTTTTCAATTATCTAAGTCTTTTTACATTCTCTCAGAAATATTTTGTAGTTTTCAGTGTATACACGTCTTAAGCATCTTTTGTCAGATTTATCTCTAAGTATTTTGTATATTTGTACTATTGTAAATAATATTTACCTCAATTTCTAATTGTTCATTGTTATTCTATAGAGGTAAAATTAAACTTTGCATATTAATTTTGTGTATATTTAGCAACTTGCCAAAATACATATTAGTCCTAGTAGCTGTTTTGTAGATTCTAAATGATTCTCTTCAAACAAAAGAGTTTAAATTCTTCCTTTGCAATCTAGATGCCTATTATTTCTTTCCTTGTCTTTTTGTACTGACCTCAGGCTCCAGTATTAATTTTGAATGAAAGTGGTGAGAGAAGACATTCTTGTCTGATTTCTGACCTCAATGGAAAGCATTCAGTCTTCCATTAGGTATGTTAGCTATATAGATTTTTCAAAACTAACCACTATCAAATTAAAAAAGATCTCTTTATCGTTGCCTTTTCACTATTTGATTATCACAATATGGCATGTTTTCTTTATGTTTCCTGTGCTCACTATTTGTTGAGCTTGTGGATTTGTTGTTTTTTATAAAATTTAGAATTTTTTTATTCTTCAAATATTGTTTTGTTCCAACTTCTCTCTCCCCTTTTTTATGGACTCCAATTATACACATATTAGGTACCTGAAGTCATCCCACAGTGATCATTTTCTAAAACTCTCATTCCTGTTTCAAGTTCACTAATCTTTCTTATTGCGATATCTAAGCTGTGGTTAATCTTCCAGTGTATTTTTCAGCTCATGAATTGTAGTTTTATTTCTACAAGTTTTATTTGGGGTGCTTTTATATCTTTTATGTCTCTCCTTAATCTTTAGAACGTATATAGTTATAATAACCGTTTTAATGTTTTGTCCACTAATTCTAACATCTGCTTCAGATCTGGGTTGGCTTCAGTTGAGTCATCTCCACTTTATACAACACGTATTCCCATTTTTTGAGGCCCCGGTCATTTTTCTATTGGTTTTGAACACTATGAGTTAACCTAACTGGGCGATGATAATTTCGTATTAGTATAGATATTCTTGAACTTTGTTCTGGGACTCAGCTAAGGTACTTGGGAAAAGTTTGATCCTTTTGGTCTTGCTTTAAAAATGTGTTAGGCCTGGACCCGTGCTCTCTCTCGAAGCAACTGTTCCTCCTGATGCAGGACCCTACAGCACACTCTCCCGATGCCTTGTGTCCTGAGGTTCTCCCACCTGGCAGATGGGATCAGGCTCTCTTCCCAGCCAGTGCGAGCACTGGGCACTGTGAACTCTGATCCTTTTGGGAGGTTTGCTTGCCCTGGCCTTTGGTAGTTTCCTCACATGCATGAGATGGTCAGTACGCAGCTGAGTACTCGAGGGTGACCCTCTGCCGCTGTAGAGCCTCTCCGTGAAGTTCTCCGCCCTCAGGCACTCTGTCCTGCAAACCCGAGTGGCTCCAGTCTCCAGGGACTTACAGATCTGTCACCACAGCCCAGGAAATCCCTGGGCTCCCCAGGCTCCTGCTGCCCTGCGCTGTGGCCTGGAACTCTTCCCCAGGCAGCAGTCCGGCGAGTCCTGGCTCCTTGCTCATCACTCAGAGGTCTCTCCATCATTAATTGAGGAGCAGTGTTTTAAAAACTGTTACTTCATGTATTTTGGCCAGTTTTTAATTGTTTCAGGCAGGGCAGTAAATTCAGTTTCTGTTACTCAATGGTTGACAGAATAGAATTCCCTTGCACAGAGTTTTGTTTTGCTTGTTTTTAAATTCTATTCATCAGCTTAATGTCCCTCGATCTAATCCATAACATAGGACCTTCTTTCAAAGATTGGGTATCCCTCAGTCCCTTCTTCTGGGAGGTTTTCACCTTCTTTCCCACAAACTGAGTTAGGGTGCTTTCCGCTCTCCCCACATTCACCACCTCTCGGAGTCCGGGGCTGCTTGGGTCGCTCTTAGCACCTAGGCGAGTGCCTGAGCCATTTGAGTGCCCAACTTCTGTGCAAAGACTATATCAGCACTGGAAATGACACGCCCAGCCAGCTATAGATGGGGTGCTTTTGTGGTCTGTGGGAGAGGAACGCATTTTCCATAGAGAGAACATGAAAATTGGGAGGCAAAGCCAGGTGGCCTAGTGCTAAGACAAACGTCCTCCCTCTTCTCCCAAGATTTTCTTTGCATGAGCTGATGGGTAAGGGCATGTTGCTTTGTCTGAGGTTGAAAAGGAAAAGTAAAAGAGTCGGGCACTACGCCTGCCCTCCATCCTGGGCTCAGCGTGGGCTCTGGGCCTCGTGGGACCAAGGAGTCGGTAGGATCAGAGCTGAAGGAGCTGTGTCGTGACGCATGCCTTGAGATGCTGGCCACACGGCGCTGGTGAGGGACCAGGCTGACAGCGTTGGTCATGTAGCGAGCCTGACTGACTGGCCCCCTGTTTCCGGTTCCCCTTCTCAGGTAAGGGCGGCGGGGGCAGCACAGGCGAGCGCCATCAGCGGCACCCAGGCAGCAGAAGGCGGCCGGGCTCCTGCTGGGGCCAGGCCAGGACCATGGAGCCAACAGCTCTCCAGGGAGCCGTGGTGGATGCTTCTGTAGTTTGCAGGGAGAAAAATGCTGTTTCTTTTGCATACGTGGACAGCATGCAAGTCTCCTCAGACAGTCTGGATTGTTTAACTGGCTTTCAGTGAACAGCTGCCCCCACCTCAGCTTCCTGAGCTCGGGGAATGGGTGCGTGGGAAGGTAGAGTCCTATTCCTGGAGAAAGCAGTGAGGCTCCAGAGCTTCTACAAACACACTGTCTACTTCCTTTGGGCTCACCATCACTGCCCCCCGACCCCAAACTTTAGGGCTCTTAGTGATGGTGGGGCCTTTTCCGCATCAGACCTTAGAATTTTTCACAATAACCCGAGCACTAGGACCACCCCATGATCAGCACCAGCAGCCCCTAGGACCACCCCGCCCCCCAGACATGTATGAATGATCTCTCTTACCTGGATACTGTACCTTTCCTTGATCTCTGGAGTGCCAAGTTCCTGTGACATCACTGTTAGCTGGGAATCCTGTCTGCTACGCATGGGAGAAATATCTGAGAGAGAGAGAAAAAGGGGGGGGGGGGGGAGGGCGGATAGGGACAGAAAACAGATGATAAATATCTGCAGAGCCACAGGAAATTGGAGACAGTATAGTAGTGTTTCTAAACTGTGGCATGGCTGGAGAACGGTAATGCAGGGGGCAGCACCGTGAGGTGGGATGAACAGACCCCACTTCTCACCTCTCTGTGCCCTCAAGAATGCCAGTGATGGGCCTGGTCTGGCACCAGGAGGCCTTCAGCCTCTGCCAGTTACTGAGCTATGTGGTCCTTCCAGAGAAGCCCCCCCCCACCCTTACCCTACCCCCACTTTGAAGTTCATAACACTGATTATCAACTTCCTGGATGGCAGGCTTTGAAATGATTTTAAGATAGACCATGGCCCAGCTGACTTAGCTCAGTGGTTGAGGTCATGGTTCGATTCCTGGTTAGGGCACATGCCTGGGTACAGGCCGCTTGGCACTGGTGCATACACAAGTGGCCACCCCGCCCCAGCCCCTCCATGCCTGCATATCAAATTAACCCACCATCTTTGTTGGTTAATTTGCGTACTCACTCCTGATTGGCTGGTGGGTGTTGCAGAGATACGGTCAATTTGCCTATTTCTCTTATATTAGTGTGTGTGTGTGTGTGTGTGTGTGTGTGTGTGTGTGTGTGCGCGTGTGTGTGTGTGTGTGTGTGTGGGGAGAGAGAGAGAGAGAGAGAAGAAGAGAGAGAGAGACCACGAAAAAGACAATTAGCTGCATCTAAAGGCCAAAGATTAGCACCAGGGCTGCTTGTCTTCTGACAACACTGCGAGCATGCAGTCTGACAGGCACTCTTCACGTTTTTACTTTCTAAGCAAGAAGAACTGAAACTCAGCATTATTGCTGTAATAGGCTCTGAAAAGTCAATAATCAGGGCAATTTCATGTATTGAAACATCACTAAAATTAGAGTAGAAAACATTTTTCCTATCTTGTCAAAAAAACCTCTTTTTCTCTTTCTCCTCCTTTTTTTCTTCCTTCCCTTCCTTCCTTCCTTCCTTCCTTCCTTCCTTCCTTCCTTCCTTCCTTCCTTCCTTCCTTCCTTTCTTTTCTTTCTTCCTACCTTCCTGTGTCTTTCTTCCTGTTGGTCTTTCTTTCTTCCCTCCTTTCCTCCTTTTACCCTCCCTCTCCCCCTCTCTTTAACCCTCTCTCTCTCCCACAATGCCCTTTTTTTCTCTCCCCCTCTCTCGTGTCTCCCACTCCCATGCCTCCTTTCTGGCTCACCCTGTGCCTGCTCTGCTGGGAATTCTCAGCCATGACATCTGCTCTCACCCTGTGGGCCTTGGCTCAGAGCAGCCCTAGGACACTGCACAGGGGCTGGCCCTGCCTGGAATGCTGCCAGATGCAGAAGGGACCGGCCCTGCTGAAGGCCCCAGAGACACTGCTGCCAGCGTGGACCTGCTGCTCGTCTTCTTGTTTCTAACCTTTCCAACCACCACATCAGACACTGCGCAGCCAGAGGCAGCCCAGATCCTCTCTGCTTCCTCCTCTCCCACTGTTTCCTAGCGCCAGCCAGGGCAACTGCCCTGCAGATGCCTCCCAACCTCAAGTTCCCAATCACTTACCCTATACCTGCTTCTGGAAGAGATATAGGTGAATAAAATAGAATCAAACTCTAAGAGGAAAATTCCATGCCCAGGGGGTGTAAAGGGCACATACAAGGAAATACATCATGTAGCAAGAGCAGTGAGAAAGAACTGCATCCCACATAGCAAGTAGCTCCGTTGGAGAGGGGGAAAAATGAGAGAGAAGTAAAGGTCTTAGAATCCCTCTTCTGACAGAAATACTTTGGGGAGAATAAAATGTATTATGATTCCAGTTCCTGCATTCATCCTGCTTCCCACAAAACTTTCTAGGCAGTCTACATGGAGTTTTCTGCATTCTCATGGCAACAAGAGCAGCATAACACGCATATGGTAAAGTGTGTGAATTACCATGTGTATATTTCCATATAACAACTACCCAAATGAAATCTAAAGCATTCCCAGGGCCAGAAACTCTCTCACCCACAATCCTCCTGTCCCGCTAATATACCTCTTAAAGGTAGCTACTATTCTGACTCTTATCATTGATTCCTTTTGCTCAGCAGCAAATTTTGTTGTTGTTAATCCTCATTCAAGGATATTTTTTTCCATTTATTATTTGTTTAGGAGAAAGTGGAAGCGAGGGAAGGGGAGAGGGAGAAAGAGAAAGACCAATGTGAGACATAGCAGTTGTTTGCCTCCTACATGCACCCTGACTGGGGCTGGTTACCAAACCTGCAACCCAGGTATGTGCCCTTGACCAGAAATCGAACCCCTAACCCTTCGGTTCCTGGGCCAATGATTTAACCATCAAGCAACACTGACCAGGGTGCAAAATTTTTTAATTAAATATATAGATATATAGATATAGATAACTCTCTATTCTTAAACTGCACTTTATTTTTTTTTTTAGATCTTTTCCTATTTTCAGTTTTAAATTTGAATAACTACATAAAAACACAACTAAAAGGAAACCAGACTTTCACTGTGCATAATTTCTTTTATAATTAGGACAAAATTACTAAGAAGTCAGAAATCGTGAAGAATGGATTAGATTTACAGTGAACTAATAATCCCAGTGACTGCACTGCTTCACAAGACAATTACCAACTACAACAACTAATTGTCTTGGCTGAACCGTCCTGGGGTGTTACAGGTTATTATTGAGCAGCTACCACGCTCATCCCCAGAGGTGGCTGCATTTCAGAATGGGGTGAGGTGATCCTATATCTCTTTCCTGTGTCTCTGGGGTTTAGTGAGGTTGGATTACTTAATTTTCACAATGTGCCCTGAGATCCTCAAATGTGACACACACACAACCAAAACACACTCAGGCTGCAAACTTAATTGTTATTTTATTGCTTATCTCACGTATGTAGCTTAGAAGTCATGCTCTAGTGCTTTATCCTAGTGAGAGTGAAGGCACAATTTGCTGGGACTTTCTAAGCGAGATGCTCATCTGAAGCGGGTTTACCACAAAGCTAATGAAGTTGGAGGTTCAGGCCCCTCCCTAGATTGGCCCCTCCCGAGGCACAGCTACTCCTGCATTCATAATTTTCATTCTTTTAAGAGGACTCCTAACTTATACAGACTTTAGGTCCCACAAAACCTGGCTCTGTCCTGCTCTTTACTAATAGGACTATTACAAAGCCTAGACCTCAAGAGGCTTTTTTGTGTTTCCATTCAGCCTCTTACACCTCTGATGTCACCCTGAGAACATGCCCAATCTAGTCTGCTAAAGGGAAAAGCACATGAAGCCGAGTCAAGGCCACCCTAGATCAGCCAATACACAGCCAGCCCAAAGACCTGTGAGAAGATACTGTCAAGATCCGCAGTGCTTTCTAGCTAAGGCCACTTGTATGAGAAAAACATGCTTCTTATGGTTATGTAACTGTGGTTTATATTTGTTTATTAGCAGAACTATTGTGGCAATGAATTATTGATGATGTAGCCATAAAATATAATAGAACTGATTAAATCCTAAAGCTAGTTCTTTGAAAATACAAATTAAACATATATTTTTGTGTCTTTTTGAAAAGACACAAATAAATAACACCATAAATGAAACATAGAAACATAAGGAATACATATAAAGTAAGATGGTAGCTATAAGAATATGAAAAGTAAACAGAACAAATACTCTAATTAAAAGATAATAGTTGTCACACTAAATTTAAAATAACAAACCACGCTATGCTGTTTATAAGAGACACATCTAAAATGTAAGGAAGGATGAAAATAAAAGAATAAAAAAAGATATGACATACAAACATGAATCAAAAAAAGCAAGTGTGGCCATGTTAAAATCAGAAAAAGTAAACTTTAAAGCACAAAAGATCACTATAGATAAAGAATACTTCATAATTGATTTTTAAAAGTTCAAAGATTTATAATGATTTAAAAATTATGCACCTAATAACAAAGATGCAAAATATATAATGAAAAAAGGATAGACTACAAGTAAAAATATATCTATAACCACATTTTCTTTATCTATTTGGAATGCTTTAGTAATTTTATTATACTAGGTTTTAGTAATTGCATTGAAATCAGATAACCTATTCTGTATGATTTTGATCCTTCAAAGTTTGTAAGCATGTGGTCAATTTTGTAAATGCTCCTTCCTGTGGTAGTTTGCAGGCTGGCCACACCCCCAGGCGACCCTAGTGGAAGTCCTGGTTGGAATTTATTTACCTTCTACAATTGAAACTTTGTAGCCTGGAGCAGAGCCAAGCCCCTGCTCACTCGGCTGCCACCATTTCTGTTTGGTTTTATGTATCTTCTATAATTGAAACTTTGTAGCCTGAAGTGGAGGACTAGGCCCAATAGGCAGGCAGAAAGCTTGGCTTCCGTTGCCGGGGAAACCCAAGCCTCTCAACTGCTCTCTGTGGCTGCAGCCATCTTGGTTGGGATTTATTTGCATATTTGCTCTTATTGGCTGGTGGGTGTGGCTTGAGTGGAGTGATGGTTAATTTGCATATTACTCTTTTATAAGGTAGGATATTTTTGTGTAGTTAATCTTGTGAAAAAATGTGTGTGTGTGTGTGTGTGTGTGTGTGTGATACATATTTTTTTTTTTTTCAATAACTGGCTAGGCCCAAGAGAGAGCTGCTCCCCTTGGAGTGCCACATCAGCAAATGGAAATAGATCTAACCTTTGTGTCTCTGTAAATGCTCCTCTTGACCAAGAAATGCAGTCTATCCAGTCAGCTAATCCCCAAACAGTCAACCAAATCTGGGCTTTATGTTTATTTTCTTGTTCTTTCTCACCCAAAACAAGGTTGATTTTGTGACTCCAGCTAATTGGATATTTTCTATTTTTCTCTTCCTGGTTCTTATTCTGTATCCCCTAAAAGCTTCCAGCCTTCTGCCCCATTCTGCAATTCTCCAATAGGAGTCTATTCACTTTACAAAGTATGAAATAAAGCTTGTTTACATCACCTATATTGT